TGACTTTTGGTTTTTATGATACAATGATACGTTATTGCAGACATAATGTCGATGGTCATTATATCATTTGTCACGCCCTGGCTCAAGGACGGACAAAAGAAGGAGACCACACATGATTCATTTCCAATTAAAGTACATTTATTTAGAGAAACTAAGTTCATTATGAAGTCAGTTAATCAGGAATGTGTGTATCGTGTGGGTGTGTGCACATTATGGTAGGCTGACTCAGAGTTTCTCAAAGGGATGATGTACAGTTTTTGAGCAGATGGAGCATTTCTTACTTTAAAGCCCAAACATTTGAATGCAGGTTCATGTTTGGGCGTTAAGCTGTCACCATTGGGTGTTATTCACTGTGTCGCTGTTCCTATGGACTGGATGTCGGTCTGATGTTTTTTTTTACCGCTGTAGCGTGAGTGTGAACACAGATAACATTGTTTATTATTACATTAGATTACTTTATTGTCATTACATAATGCAAGCAGAGAAATCAAGAGGGTCTAACCAGAGTGCAAACAGTCATTTATATACACACCTATCAGCAGTCTGTACAAAATAAATGCATTATACAAATATACAAGGTAAAGGTATACAGATGTAAAAAGTATAAATACAAATATACACAGTGGAAATTGACTTTATTACGCACAACATCAATACCATTAATGGTTTGTATTATTCCGTACCTGATATCATCCTCATGATTGGAGATTCACATGCAGGAAACATCTTGGGTCCAGTTTTCATGGGTACTCAAGCATTCCAAAAAAACACCCATTCAAATGCAAAGCTTTAAAGATCTCTCACACATCTCTGATAGATTAGCATGGTGACTGTTTTCGAAGGCTTTTCTAAGTTTCAGTCACGGACAATCAAGCATTCACACCCACTTCAAGAGGCAATCTGCTATTTGTTTGTTCCATCTGATGCTTTCATACGTACTGCTTGATTTTCACTAATCCGGTTTATACAGCTGTGATGGCCGAAATCCAATGGGGTCTCCCCGCGCAGGTTCAAATCCTGCTCACAGCGTCTGATGATTCTTTAAGACTTACATTTGAGTATTTGCTGCGGGTGCTATCTGATGGATTAGGTGCGTTGTGAAAATGGTTAAAAGTAGAGAATACGCTCAACCTGGGTTCAGGGAACATTGTCGCTTTCTTAGCCTTGGTTCAATGTGTCCAAGAAGTTCGGTTCATTTTCAGATTGGTCGTGGTGCATGCTAGTTTCAATCAATTTCAATTTCAAGGCTTTATTGTCATTTGGACATTAGTTACAGTGTAGATTTGGCAATGAGAAACGTAGGTCACAGGCTTGACTCCTTGGTTGAAAGTGTCCTACAATTGCACTTCAAAGTCAAAGTCCACTTTATTGTCAATCTTTCGGTTTGTGTGTACAGACCCTTATATATACAGTCTATGGTACAGACAGAGAGATTGAAATACCGTTTCCCACAATCCCGAATACAATAACAAAGATATATATATATATATATATATACACAATCAACAGACACATTTATACATATGCACACATTTAGACATAAATAAAAGCCAAACAATCAATATATACAAAATAACAGTCACTTCAATAACTTTGAGAAATGCACTATGACTTGAAATGTATTGGTTCGTTGTGTCTGTAATGTTACTAATGTTCCTGAAACACTTCATTCCTCTGCAGCAAACACCCTGTGAAGAGGACGTGGACTTTTCGGATAAAGACGAGGCTGATAACGAGGTGGAGGGTCCGATCGACTGTCCGTCTGTCCGCGTGGCGACCACGACTCTGCGCAGCCATCAGGGCGTGGTGATCGCTGCTGATTGGCTGGTGGGAGGCAAACAGGTGGTGACTGCGTCCTGGGATCGAGCTGCAAATCTGTACGATGTGGAGACCTCAGAGCTCGTGCACTCACTCACCGGTAGGATGAAAGCAATATTACAATAATACTGTTTTTAATCCATTGTAAGACTTTGAACTTTAAAGCATGTTCTTATAGCCCAAATAATAAAAAATGTTTGCCCCTCACAGCTTCCATAGACACTTCTCTAGTTGTTATTAAATTAGTTATTTCTCTAATACTGTTTTTAATATGAGTTTATTGTTGGACTTTGGAATATAGCAGCATGTGTACTGTATGTTGGCCTCTCACAGCTTCCATAGGCACTTCTCTTGTCGTACTAAATGAGTTATTGTTCTTAAAGTTTTTTTGTATTATATTAAATGTAGGGATGCTCCGATCGATCGGTCACCGATCGATATCGGCCGATACTCACTCTCTACCGATCGATCGGTGCTCTCTAAACATGCCGATCGCGAGAGCCGATCGCATGACGTAAAATACATGACACTTTTCTCTGTGTGCGGCAAAACAAGCTCGCCAGAATGGCTTCACCGGTCTGGCATTATTTTAAGGTGTCCGAAAAAGACAGTAAAATAGCGGAATGCAACGTGTGTGAAGCAGAAATCCTGCAGCTCCGCCCGCCGGACCGGGGAGCGGAGCGAAACACACAAGAGTTAGACCCAACACACTTCGCAATTTTATCTACCTCTGGAACAAGCTAAACTAGTTATACATATATTTATTCTTCACTGTCGGGTCACTCATTACTGGATCAGTGAGCTACTGACAGGCTGTCAGGAGAGAGAGAGGGGGGGAGAGAGGGGGGAGAGAGGAAAAGAGAGCGCTTCCGCTGATTTCTCCCGTGTTATTATCCAAAGTGAATGTAAACTTGAATAATGTACATCATTTGAATGTAATAATTAAGTTGATTGTTGTTTGTGGAAGCTCCAGAGAATGAGCATTAACTGAGTTTAAACATCACTTTAAATGGAAGATTTAAAGTGATGTTTAAATCTTCCATTTAGGCCCCGCCCACTCGATCGGATCGGCGATGGGTATCGGCCGATACTGATTCCGGCGATCGGCCCCAAAATTGGCGATCGGAGCATCCCTAATCAAATGTATTATATTATGTGTTCAGGCCATGACCAGGAGCTGACACACTGCTGCACTCACCCCACCCAGCGTCTGGTGGTCACATCGTCCAGAGACACCACCTTCAGACTGTGGGACTTCAGAGACCCGTCCATACACTCCGTCAACGTGTTCCAGGGACACACTGAGTCAGTCTGACACACACACACATACACAAACACACATACACACACACACACACACACACACACACACACCACACACACACCACACACACACACACACACATACACACACACACACACACACACACACACACAAACACACACACACATACACACACACACACACACACACACACACACACACACACACACACACACACACACACACACACACATACACAAACACACACACACATATACACACATACAGATGTAGCGCTTCATTTCGGACAGTTTGAAACGCGAGGGCCGTGATTGGTACGGGATCTGCCGTCGCTCAAGGGAAAACCTCCAGCTTGACTTGAGACCTCCCCCGTGGTAAATAAATGTAATTATTATGAAGCCAGCTGCAATGGATCATTGATCCACCAGGGGGTGCAGTGGGGTTCCACAGTGGAGCTCATGTGAAATAAAGTCAGATACAGTACGCTGGATGTACAGCGGAACTTTGTTAAGATCCATATGTCACGGATATCATACTCTGTGCTAAATAAGAGACACGTAATCATTTACAAAACATCACCATGTTGTTATTTAACAAAATAATGTTGCTTAGTCGAAAAAAACAAACGGGAGGAAATGCAGCCCGGCTCTCGATTTTTAATCCTAATTTAATCATCATCTTCACCACGATCGTTTATGTTTATGTTCGCCGAATTGACATGAAATCACTGACATATATGAATATACTGTATTCAACTTCATTAAAACGTTATTAACGTGCCTAAACTCAGTAATTCATAAAAATATTTATATTTTAATGGAGCCTCGTCGGCAGATCAGGATCCCCCCATAAGAAACAAGTCGCTGCAAATTATCCCGCTTATTACACGGCCACAATCTCAACAAAGTAACGACATGACTCCCAATATTAATTGAAATGCTTTTATGGATTTAGAAAATGTTTTTATTGATTTAAAAAATAGTTGTATGTATTGATTTAAATTGACATGAATCCGCTAAGAAAAATTGTCCGTTGTTACCGTTTTTTAAACAGTCTGAATGAAACGGCAGCTCTCAGCTGTGTATTTACACAGCTCTCTCCCCCTCCCCCCTGATATTTCTTCTCCAGCAGCTAAATTAACTGTAGGTTACTCTAAGTGACAAGCTTACAGTTAGTGACGTAACAACACCATAAAAGCTGGTGGGTTGAAAGCAATATGGGAGGTAAACAGAACTAGAATAATTGTGATTTATTTATTGTGGCTTTTATGTTTTTAGGTATAAAATGTTATATAATTCAGGCTTATAATTCACCCTTCTCTAAAAGCCTTCAACAATGACAATATTCATAGTAATTTAATAAATCCTTCCAACACACATTGTAAAAAATAGCCTACTGTAAGTTAAGAAATCATTCCAATATGTACATCTTCTGATGTAACAACAATAACATTATAAATAGTAACATAGCTGAACATGGTATTGCACATTTAGCTTTGAGTGTTACTGACCTGAGATGTTTTTATTACATGAATTAAGGTGACTGAGGCTTTTTAACATAGACAGAGCACAACTGAAACATAACATCTGAAACGATGTAACAACATAATATACTTTTTGGGGATGCAGCTTGGGATGTGAGGAGTGAGGGACACGGCTTAGAACGGGCGTGTCGCCTTCTGTCCGGCCAGTGTTGGCAGGACAGGAGAGTGTGTGCATCAGTCTGCCTTGATCTATGAATTCATGTCCGTGACACTCACTGCTGCCCACAGCTGTTTTATAGAAGGAAAACCTCCTTCACTTCATGAAAGTGTTTTAACCACACACACCTCTACACACACACACACACACACACACACACACACACACACACACACACACACACACACACACACACACACACACACACACACACACACACACACACACACACACACACACACACACACACACACACACACACACACACACACACACACACACACACACACACACACACACACACACACACACACACACACACACATGAAATCACTGACATATATGAATATACTGTATTCAACTTCATTAAAACGTTATTAACGTGCCTAAACTCAGTAATTCACTAAAAATATTTATATTTTAATGCAGCCTCGTGGATGAAACGGCAGCTCTCAGCTGTGTATTTACACAACTAATGGCCCATCAACCACAGCTCTCTCCCCCCTCCCCCCTGATCTTTCTTCTCCAGCAGCTAAATTAACTGTAGGTTACTCTGAATGACAAGCTTACAGTTAGACACAACACTGTCATTGCAAGTGACCCTCAGTTAGTTGACTTTTATGTTCAACTGCTAGATTTGTTACTGATAAATAAGCAATACTGCCATCCAAATGTAAGTAACTTAAACAAATATGTTTGGAATAAAACCTCGTAATAAATGAAGTTGTAACAGTCAATGCTTTCTTTCTTTTACCTTCAGTCTAAACCTGTTTTCTCGTCTTCTTGCAGCACGGTGACGTCTGCTGTCTTCACGGTGGGCGATAACGTTGTATCAGGAAGTGATGATCGCACTGTTAAAGTGTGGGACCTGAAGAACATGAGGTCGCCCATAGCAACCATCCGAACTGACTCTGCCGTCAACAGGTCTGTGAGCTGCAAATATTCCATAATATGTGTAATGCAGAATTATCTCCAGTGTTTATATTTATTTAGTGGTGGACAAGCAGAGCAAGACAAATAGGAAGTTAACCATTTATGATCTTATATATATTTGTTTTTATGATAACATTAAACGGCTCAGATATGAATGCAACATGTGTTTTAAATCTGCATGTCCAGTCGGAACAAGCAAGCGTATTGGAAACGGACAACATGTCTTGGAGACTTTAAACCGAGGATGTAATCTACCCATTCTCACAATGCACCTAGATTACAGAATTCTACCTCAGTAAATAGTCAATTCAAGAAGTTTAAAGATTCTTCAAATACTGTGAGCAGGGTTCGAACCTGCGCGGGGAGACCCCATTGGATTTCAAGTCCAATGCCTTAACCACTCTGCCATCACAGCTGTTTTTGGTAGTTTACTATGGAATTCTGGTTTAGCCGTATCAGCTCCTTGTGGGAAACAAGAACAGCTTTTGTAGCTTTAAGTACCTGCAGTTCCCAGTAATGTTAAGGGTTTTGGTCGTTGAATCAAGATCAACTTTGGTGTACATTTCACACCTGGCCTGTCACTTTGATCCAAGAAATAAACAGTACTGGAGCTACCATGTAGCACAGCCAATCTTGAAATGGACCGCAATTCTCGGAGCCATCAAACCAAGTGTGAAACAACAGTTTAAGGACCACACAGAAAATAATTAACTTAAGAAGAGTTGAGCCTTCTCAGACGCTGTGAGCAGGGTTCGAACCTGCGCGGGGAGACCCCATTGGATTTCGAGTCCAACGCCTTAAACTCTCGGCCATCACAGCAGATTTTAATGATCTATGTGGAATCATTGAGTAACCGTATAAGGTCCTTGTGAGAAACAAGAACAACTCTGGTTGCTTAAACTACCTATCCTCAAGTCATTTTGCAATTCACAATTGTCCAGCACTTTGAACCATGAGCGTTTTTTTGCATTGCTCAAGTTCCAACAAAAGACCCTTGTTGGACTGCATTTGAACAAAGACTAAGAGGACAGTTGAACACATGCAGCAATAAGACAGCTCCAGAAGTTTAAAGATTCTTCAAACGCTGTGAGCAGGGTTCGAACCTGCGCGGGGAGACCCCATTGGATTTCAAGTCCAACGCCTTAACCACTCGGCCATCACAGCTGTTTTTCTTGGTTGACTATGGAATCGTTGTATAACCGTATAAGCTCATGTGGGAAACAAGAACAGCTTTGGTAGCTTTAAGTACCTACAGTTTCCAGTAATGTTTAAGGGGCTTCGTGTGGTTGTTGAAACAAGATAAACGTTGGGGTTAATTTCACATCTGGGGTGTCACTTAGAACCAAAGAATAAACAGTACTGGAGCTACCACGTAGCACAGCCAATCTTGAAATGGACCTCAATTCTAGGAGCCGTCAAACCAAGGGTGAGACAACAGTTGAAGAACCCAACAGTAACCTGTGCGGGGAGAGCCCATTGGATTTCAAGTCCAACGCCTTAACCACTCGGCCATCACAGCTGTTTATTTGTCTTTTAGGAATGTCGGTTAACAAGAACAACTTTGGTAGCTCAAACAACATACTGTTTACAACCACCATGCTCCATGCGTCTGCTGCAAATAGAGCTTCTTGAAACGCTGTGTGTTTTTGGTGGATTGCGCTAGTAACCCTGATAGCTCCTTGAGGGAAACAAGAACAACTTTTGTATTTTAAACTACCGACGCTTTCCAGTGATATCAAGGGTTCAGTGTGCCAGAAAAAGGTAGAAGTTTATGATCTGGTTATGTTATGTTGAGTTATGAGTGAACTCTTGTAGCTTAAACAATTTGTTTTGTGGTCCAATTCATACAACACGTTTTTGCAGAAAGTAGCAACAAAATACTTTAGTTTTACCTGAAAATAGTCACAAATAATAGTGGAAATCTGACCTAGTTTTTACGCCATATTCTTCCTGTTTTTGTGTCCAGGATCAGCGTGTCGGTGAACCAGAAAATCATCGCTCTTCCTCACGACAATAGGCAGGTCCGGCTGTTCGACATGTCGGGGGTGCGGCTGGCTCGACTCCCCCGCAGCAACAGACAGGTCAGTTTCGAGGGAGGACTCGGATTGACCCCTCGCAGCTTCCATACACACTCATTCCCTGTCTTTATTGAATTAGTTATTGCATTAAAATAGACTTGTAACTTGGTCAGCATTTATCTGTACTGTGTAATGAGGAAACGTAGTTTTTTCATGTTGCTTTTAAAGCTTGTAGAATTATCGAATATTGTTAAGTCAAGAGTTTCTAAATTAGTTCTTAACTACTGGTACCAGAAAAAAACATTTAAAATGTCAGTTTCTAAATAAAATACAAGGGGCTTCCTGAGGGAAATGCAATTAAAATGTATTTGGTTTAAGGTCAAACGAGGGATCCTTTCTGCATACCAAATATGGCAAAAAAAACTTGCAAAAACAGTAAAAGAAAACCTAGAAGACATACATATAATATATCAAAGCACAGAAGAGTATTTGCAGCAACTTGTATTTGAAACATTTAATTTTTGTCCCCTATTGAATCTTAAGCAAACTCAATATGGCTTTTCATTTGGGTTAACTTTCAATTCTCAGTGGTATCATTGTCCATGTTTTACTTTTATCTTTTTACCAAAATCTGAAAATTCTGACTTTTTCTCAAAATCGCTAAATTCTGTCTTTTTCTCAAAAATCAGACTTTTTCTTAAAATCTCAAAATGTTGACTTTTTCCAAAAAATTCTGACTTTTTCCTAAAAATTCTGACAATTTTCTCAAAATCTCCAAAAATGTGACTTTTTCTAAATACTTAAAATGTTAATAATCACTCGTCCCCGGCTTGAGCTTCAATCTCAGGATCCATGTATTTGTGATCCTCTCCAGAATGGAAGGAGTCATCACATACAGAGCATCAACTAGTTCCTGAACAGAGTCCTTCACATGCTGATATCCAAGAGAGGGAGTTACACAGTCACAAGATGGAGGAATAGAAAGCAGTATTCAATGTTTACTTCAGATTAGCTCCACGTCAGAAATGAGCATGCTTGATGTCTCTCTCCATAGAGGCTGAATCATCATGTTAATCACATAGCTATCATATGCCTCAAACAGTCCTGATGCTCTTCTAGGTAATCATACATCCTGTCATGAACACAGCTACAGTTGGGATACCTTTGTTATCATGTGTACTCTGATACTGGAAGAGGACATTCAGTATTACTATTTTCCCAACACTTATTATCCTCAGCGTCTAACAGCTGCTGTGTTTTCTGTGGTGCTTCAGGGTCATCGTCGGATGGTTTGCTGCTCCGCCTGGTGTGAAGACAACACGTCCTGTAACTTGTTCACCTGCGGATTCGACCGGCAGGCCATCGGCTGGAACATCAACATCCCCGCCCTGCTGCAGGAGAAATGACCTCCCGATGCTGCCACTTTACGGTGAACACCCAAAGTCTGCCTCTCAAGAGCATCGAACACTCACTTTCTGCAGGCTTTAAATGCAGCTTCAAACATGTCTTTTTTGGTCTGTAAAAACGTGTCACATTACAACAGACGTAACTTGAAGCAAATACTCAATGACATTTAAAAATATATGTTTTAAAAGCTGCCTTTGAGTCTGCAGGCGGTCAGTTTTCAGCTTTCTGAGATCAAAAAAAGGAAGGAATGAAAAATGAAACATATTATCTAACTTAAGCCGCCAATATATATACGTTATGTGTGTTTCGTTTGCGTTGAGCAATTCTTCACTATCCAAATTAAATAAACGACCTGGTGATGAAAGCACAGACATGTTTGTTTAAGTAAAAAACTAAAATGCTCAAAACTCAAGATAAGTGAGGTGGAGAATTAACGAAATGTAATCCGTGCCACTGAGAGCAGATTTGTGTTTGGACAAGAATCTGATGCTTTTGGAGAAAATCCTTTTGTGTTCAACCATTCTTTTTAGAAGTTAATTTGTGATAACTTGCCATTTACCTTCTTTACCTAAACTTCTTAATATAAAAAGAAAGAAGCCCTCACTCTTTGAATTGATACCTTAATAACAACCGAACAGCTCAGTTCTGCTCAGCGTTCAGGAGTCTGTGTGGTACAGGAATGCACCTTTTGGAATAGTCTTATATAGCTTTTTGTTGCTGGAGAGTATTGTAGATTATGTAAATGGTCAACAAAGTTTAATGCTGGTTAGCTTAAAGATTGTTTTCTGCAAAGCCAGTCACATAATGGTCCTATTCTGTTGTTAGATTTAAGATGGCTGATTGTCGAATCTGTCTACCTTTTAAACTGTGGCTACCTGAAAAAAATGTGAGTAATAACATTATCTTTGCTAGCCGTGGTGCTGTGTACTCTAGAACTGGTATGTTGCTAACCCTAAAAACAGTAGTGTTGTGTGACTAAAGAGGGAAAGAAATAACGCCTGGTGGATATTAAAGCTACAAAAGTCCAACAAAAGGATGCTATATTTGACATTTTTATTATTTTGTCTTTTGCAAAGACTACATTATGGATGCTTTATCGACCATTGGCTGAATCTCAACCACACCTCTTATAGTGGTCCCAAATATCTACTTCCTCTCCTATGTAAAGGTGATAGTGTTTTTTTTACTGACTGAAACTTCTCCAGTGTTAGAGTTTGACCCCAATATGACCTCCCACATCGTATACGTGATTGGTCACTCTTCTCACAGTGTTAATCTGGATCTGACTGTGTTTCTGTAAAGCCATGAACCAGCCACTGTGTTCCTAGTAGACAGAACATAAATGTGTAGATATTTGACCAACTAAGGGAGGAAAGGTGATTACAGTGTTTCTGTTTGTGTGCTAATGAAACATTTAGTCTCTAAGAGCAGCACCTGTTGAGATAGTTGTTATGCAGGGCCGGGTACCGAGACATAGTACCGAAAGAATACTCTATTTAATCGTCATTTGGGGTATTTGGTACTAAATGAAGTCCCATTTCAGTGACTAAATAGACAAACAATTGTGCACTTTAAATGGCGAGAATAGACTTCTCCACCCATATATTAGAAATACGTTCACACCTTTTTCTGAAGGGCTTTAATAGAGATGGAAAGGTTTGTTTTCAGAGGTAAATTAAACTTCTATGCCTCTTTTTTATCGTCTCAAGCTCTACTCGCAAAATCTACTAATAAGAGATTAAACTCTCAACAAAAATGACTAAAGTAGAACCAAGTCTGCTTAAGTATGACAACATTTGAGTAAATTATTTCTAATAAAAGTGACATTTTAGCAGATTTGAAGGGAATAAAATAGGTTAGTAGAGAAAGCACATTATGTGTACGTGTTACATATCAATGAACTCACTTTAAAATATAATGAAGTCTAATTTCAACCAACGATAAAAGAGAAAACTAACTGATGTTTCTTCTGGTGCCCGGCCCTGCTGTTGTACCAATACTTGACATGAATGTACAAATAGTTTTTTCCTAGATTATCGCAGTGTCTTTAGTCTTTGGTGTTGAAAACACTGTTGTGGGGATTCTGTCCGTGTCATATTTGTAATGGTACTTAAAAAGTAGTAAACCTTTTGAGGAGTGTCGTGATGCGTTCGCTGTCCCCTGCTTTGTTCCCCACTGCCACTAAAACAGCCAAAGCTGCATTGGAGTGAATAGGAAAGGATGTAGTGATGTTGTGTGTGTGTGTTGTGTGTGTGTGTGTGTGTGTGTGGGTGTGTGTGTGTGTGTGTGTGTGGGTGTGTGTTTGTGTGTGTGTGTGTTGCTTGTGTGTGTTGTGTGTGTGTTGTGTGTGTGTGTGTGTGTGTGTGTGTGTGTGTGTGTGTGTGTGTGTGTGTGTGTGTGTGTGTGTGTGTGTGTGTGTGTGTGTGTGTGTGTGTGTGTGTGTGTGTGTGTGTGTGTGTGTGTGTGTGTGTGTGTGTGTGTGTGTGTGTGTGTGTGTGTGTGTGTGTGTGTGTGTGTGTGTGTGTGTGTGTGTGTGTGCGTCTGAGAACAAAGTCTGTGTGTCTATCTTGTGGTGCGAAACAAATCAACGTCTAAAACGTGTTTAATGTTCTCACAAGTTACAGCATTAAAACGATGAATAAGCACAGTCCATTTCAAACTGATTGTTTCTAAGTCTAGCTTTAGATTTATGCTGGTTTGTAACAAAAGTGTTCATTAAAACAAGTGCATTGACATTGCATTGAATTGTATTTGGTCACACTTTACAGCTGCCTTGTATTAACTAAGTGAAATGTATTTCTAACTATCGAAAAGTCTTATAAATACCACATTTGGTGAAGTAATATAGATGTTGGTGTAAAAACAGCCTCATTACATGCAAATAAAAGTGATAACTTCTTAAAAGGCAACTGTAAAGTGATATTGTTCTTATTTTAACACCATAACATTTGTATCATAAACTATAATATATGAAAATGTCGCCGGATTTTCAGCTGCAGCAGTTTTATTATTAGCCTTTATAACTTGATGACATGTTCCTGCATTTCAATTTTTTTTATTCAGTGTAGATTACTGCTTCGTGATGAATGACATAGTTCTTCAGTCAAAGGCTTTACATTCACATAAAAGTTAATGTTGTCATTTACACCAGAGATGGCAAATGTAGTCCAAAGTTTTGCATTCGGCTAATAATAAATTAGCTTCTCAAACTTCTTCTCAAAAAAATATGTTTTGGTGAGTAGTTCCTAATTTATTTGAGTTATGTAGAAATGTAAGATACTTTTCACTGTTGGACAAATGTTATGTTTATTTCTGTACCTTCACTTTCTTTTTATTCACTCCAGCTGTAATCAGCAATATTCAAATTAAAAACAAAGCACAACATTACAGATCATTGATGTCCTTTTCCCCTAAATTAATTCTGCAAAAGGAGTTATCACTGGTTTAAATGACAGAACATCTTGTTTGTGTGAAGGAAATATAGAAGCTGTGTGTTTAGGATTGTGAATGTTCAACCTTTTAAACAAGTTTCACTGCACTCAACTGCTTTTTTTTTTTTACCAACACTGAGCCACTTTTGCTGCCTGCCACGTTCATAACGATGTTAATAATGTTCAGTCACTGTTCACACTATCAATAAACATGAAACCAGATCACAACCACCGTCGTGAAGCCTTGTGAAACTGTGGCAACGTGTTAACAGTGTTTTGTGTGATCAAAGTGGCAAAAAAAACACAACACAATGTAGTAACCTGTTGAATCGACTTGACAGCAGTTTTGTTATAGCTGTGTAATAATAAGGAATAAACAGCTGCTTGTGAAATGAAAATAAACAATTTGTGCTGTAATGTTTTCTAGTTGTTTTATTATCCTCTTTGCAAATGTTGCTCCACAAGTGATGGATGTGTAAAAAGCAACTGTTTTGCTAAAAAAAAATTCATATCAATTTAAAAAAAGGGACATTATTGTTTAATTCACTCCTTGTTTCCTACCCTGAAGTTTTAATATTCTGTTAACTTATTGAAGTGAGACAAAAATAACTTGACTATTCAGACCCTTACAATTTGAATTAGAATTCGAACAGAAAATACTATTATATAATATTATTAGGAGCTCATTTGATATTTAAAAAAGGCAAAAATCCACTCATTGTTATAAATCTTTTTACATAATTTTGGGGGCATCTTCTTCGCACTCAGAGATGTATAAGTATTTTCAGTTTGTGCAAATCAAAAGAAAGAAGCAGAAAATACAATTAATAGAATAACTAATTTAATCAATTAATCAATCAACCTGGTAGTAACTTTGAGCTTGGACTTGGATGCGAGACAAAAACAAGAATTAAGACAAATAGGTTGATTTATTCCTATTGATAAAAATAGTCATGACCAATATACAGACCATAATCATTCTGCATACTTAACCATTAAAGTGTTCATAGCATTCAACAATGTGCCTTCCAGTATATCTTTTACATTCCCTTGCTCTGAAAACTTTCTGCAAATTAACAACAAGAGACTACACAAGAATAACATTTTTCAGGAAAGTAAAACCCTTTGGGAAAATAAATGAATGATTTACAGAGATTAACGGATACATGTAGAGAACACACAATAAAAGGGAACCACAAAACTCATTTTTGGGGATTTCAACATGGATTCCACATCTTGTAATGCACACAATCTTCCTGTAGGTGGCGACATTTCTTCACTCTTGGGCCTCATATAAAATGGCTCTCTAAAACACTGTTCAAAATGTATATATAATGTATTAAGGGTGATAAACTTAAACATAACTGAACAAGTGAGACAAACAGTTACATTAAAATAAATATATCTGAAACAACGGAACACACAAAACAAACTCAAACAAGTAAGAATACATTAAAATGTCACTTTCAGTTTAGTGCTTAAAGAGACCAGAAGCTGTTGTTACTAACGAAACAGATTCTGCTTTGTAGTCATCAGATATGTTGAATTATTAACAAGATGGGGGATAGAAATCTCCTAACACACTGAAATTGTGGGGACCTTCAATTTCGGGTCAAATATCTGGTCCCCACAATGTAAATGATTACATTTTAGGCTATTTGAAGGTGTTATGGTACATTTAGAGTATGGATTGGAGTTGGGAATGTTGTTTTCATGGTTAAAGTTAGGTTAAGTCATGTAGGCATTAATATAAGTCAATGCAATGTCCTCCTAAGGGACAAAGACAAGGTTTGTGTGTGTGTTCTTTTTTATGGTGTTTGTGGGGACCGAACATTTGTTTTAGACTTGTTAAGTGAGGACACCATGCCATGTTTGCAAAAAAAGGATGTAAAACACATAGCATATGAAATTATTCCAGGATTATTTGCCCTAGGACTAGCCTACTTGTCACACCAAATACAGTTGATTAAGACTTGATTAACATTATTTAATTTGTATTTATCAACTAAATAAAACTGATACATTTAGCAGCTCCGCACTTAATTAGCTGAATACATTTTTGCCACCAGTGTGTTGATATGTACTGTAGGTGGGAGGTATTGTATCTTAAATAAGTTATCAATATCACAAAAGCATTATTAATACTATTATTATAACAGTCTATATGATATGTTATTATTTATATAACACCCTATTTGTAGTGATCAACCTATTTTTAAACATTCAACTCTAACTGTGCAGTTGTGTCTTTGCAAGTTTAGCCTTGTTAAGTTACATTCTACTCAAACACTCACTTTATACTGCTGTAACTTCCATAAATATCTTCAATGTGGTTTGTTGCGTTGTTGTTAAGACTTTATTAACCCAGACAAGCTAGCAGTGGCTTCCAGAGCCATTTTTAGCAGTTTTTAGGCAACCTAAACTAACATTACACACTACGAGGTCTACTCTGCTTAATGTAATGTTCTGAATGCTTTGAGCATATTTGAATTATTTACTTGTCGCTCCAACCAGTTCACCCTTTCTTATATAAAAGAAATAGATGTGAAATAACCAGAGATAGCAAAAGTACACACATCCTTAACTCAAGTAGAAGTACAGATACTCATGTTTAAAAATACTCTGGTAAAAGTAGAAGGACTGACTAAACTTCTTTACTCAAGTAAAAGTAAAGAACTTTGAAATGTACTTCAGTAAAAAGTACCCATAACTAGCAGCTGTTTTAAAGAGTACCTGACCTCCCTTTATATTAATAGAACAATAATGTCATTGTTAGCTAATGAATGTTTCCATGCTGAACAACGGCAACATGACAACGTTTCCATTGGTCCCTCTTCTTTAGAGAAGACCAGGAAATGATGGATACACGGATCGTGTTCAAATCAATAGGCACGCAATGACTCTAAATAATAATGATCACGCACCAAACACACATTCAGACTAAAGGAACCAGCTGTTTGGAAAATGAGAGAAGTAGAAAGTACAGGTATTAGTGTTCAACATGTAAGAAGTAGAAAGTACAGGTATTTGTGTTCAACATGTGAGAAGTAGAAAGTACAGGTATTTGTGTTCAACATGTGAGAAGTAGAAAGTACAGGTATTTGAGTTCAAAATGTAAGTAAAAAGTCGTGGAGTACTGATACCAAAACAATGCACTTAAGTACAATAACAAAGTATTTGTACTCCACTACTTCCCACCTCTGGAAATAACCAACGTTCTGCTCTAACTAGTGTTACATTCCGTGTACCTCATCCACACAATCACAAAGAAAATCATACATGTACTTCACCCTCAACATTCAGTCTTTTCACACAGTTTCTCACACACTAACATTGAAGTGACCCAGTTCTGGAGTTTCTCTGAGCCAAGTTCCCAGCCCTCCACCCTGCAGAGCGCTGGTGAACTGATGCATCGCCCTTTGGTAACGTCCGGCCGCCATCTTGGAACCAGAATATGAGCATGGAGTCGCCTCTGCACCGTTCAACTGAGGAAGTAAGAGAGAAACATCACGTAAATACAAATGAGAGTTGAGGGTGATTTGCAGTGTAAAGATAGAATTCAGCAAGTGGTGAAAGTAGTTTTCAGATCCTTTACTTAAAGAGCCTGTGACACGAGTTTCCCCCATCATCCAAACCCATCAATTTGAGTAAATATTGTCCCCTTGAAAACCGTTACTGAACTGATTTTGGATATTTGTACTTTGATAACCATTAATCTGCCCTTCAATGTTGACCATTTTCTGGATCTTCTCGGGGATTCTTCAAGTCCCGCCAAATTATGTGTGACGTCATTGCGGGCACAGCGCTCCAGCTGCACCGTTCAGGATCCCAGCAGCTGCATGTAAACGCACGATGGTGCACACAGCAGTAAGCTCAGACAGCGATGACAGTTTAATTTTGAACGTGTCTGAGAGCTCATATGAGGCTGAAGGATCGCTTTATGTTGTATCTGTTAGAAGTTTAGGAATTAGGTGCGTCAATATGGGCGATCATTCGGTCATGTAGCCAGTGGGACTAAAAATCATCCCGGGACTCTCGACCGGCCCACTTCGGTACCGCTAGTAAATTGTCAACAGGGGGAGTGGGGGATGTCAGGGGCGGCGGGTGCTGTAGATAGTAAATGTAAATATGTAAATATTTGTGTCACTGCATCCTGGTAAAATACAAATATAATGCAATGTCTGTGTCTTTGACATTAGCGCTGCTAGCCACCTGTGCTCTGTACTACGAAGCCAGTTCAACAGACCCTGGATATGTTTGAGTAACAAACTAACTAACAACAACAAAGTTATAAACGAGATCTCGCTAAGCGGTCCTACGACGCTGGTTATCAACTCGGTAAATCAAGCCAGGGTTGCTCTCTCCAGCTGAGAGCGCGTTCACGTCTAAGACACGAGTGGATCTGACTTTAATTAGGCCTACATTTGACTCGAGTGTTTCGTCAACATAATGTGTTGCTTAAAATAATACTTCTCTTCTGCATATAGTATGTGACACTGTAAGTGTTGCACGGCCAGATACGGCTGGAGAAGCTGACTCAGATAAGGAAATATATGATACATTATATGATCGATGATCTGATTGATGATGTAATATGAATGATAAGTGCGACACGTCGGCGTCTTCTCTGCCTACGGCAGTTTAAACTGTATTTCCTTTATCCTGTAATATGACTTGAGAGATTTAAACTCCGCACACTGAGTTGATCTCTTTTCTATAGACGACGGAGGCGGGCAGCGTCAGGTAAAAAAAGTAATTTAGCCTTCCCAGAACCTCACGCGCCGCCTATGGGGGATGTGCTAGTGACTTATCCGACCGGCCCACTTCGGTACCGGCCCATCGGGATTCGTCCCGATGGCCAGTCCGCCACTGCACCCAGCCCACGTAAACTGTCAACGGGGGGAGCCTCGCTGCGGGGAAACGGTGGACCTGGTGTCCCGATCGGAGTGGGAATAATAATAATAATAATAATCCGTGCATTTTATCCATTAATTTCCCCAACATTGTGGTGAAAAAACCACACGTTTAATCCATGTTGGTGTACAACAACTACAAAAAGCATCGGGTGGTTTTCTCATCAGGAAATGCAGACCGATTCTCACGATCATTTAATGTATCATATGTTCGCCGAATTGACATGAAAGCACTAATAAATGTAGTTTCATCCACTTGAGTTTACAACTATTATCACATCCTACGGGAGGAAATTCAGCAGCTCTCACTACCGATTTTTAATCCTAATGTAATCATCATCTTCACCACGATCATTTATGTTTATGTTCGCCGAATTGACATGAAAGCACTGACAAATATGAATATACTGTAGTCAACTTCATTAAAACGTTATTAACGTGCCTAAACTCAGTAATTCACCATTTCTACGCATGACAACACACTTTGTCCGTGTTTGGCTCTCTCGCTGCACAGTGAAGCGTTCCCGCATTGACGTCACTTCCGGCTTCCCCCAAAACTTCAAAATGAGTCGAAGGAATTTCCCCGCGATGTTCGAAATTATTGATATTTAACGGAACGGTATCGCTTTTTCTTTTTTAAACTGATGGTTCGAGATTACTAGTAGCCCAATATTTCATTGCACAACAGTTGTTGGGATGCTGTCACAGGCTCTTTAAAGGTCACCTATAATGCAAAATCCACTTGTTCATGTCTCTTCTAAATCAACATGTGTCCCCTCTTCTTCATGTCTCTTCTACATCAACATGTGTCCCCTCTTCTCCATGTCTCTTCTACATCAATATGTGTCCCCTCTTCCCATGTCTCTTCTACATCAACATGTGTCCCCTCTTCTTCATGTCTCTTCTACATCAATATGTGTCCCCTCTTCTCCATGTCTCTTCTACATCAACATGTGTCCCCTCTTCTTCATGTCTCTTCTACATCAACATGTGTCCCCTCTTCTTCATGTCTCTTCTACATCAACATGTGTCCCCTCTTCTTCATGTCTCTTCTACATCAACATTCGTCCCCTCTTCTTCATGTCTCTTTTACATCAACATGTGTCCCCTCTTCTTCATGTCTCTTCTACATCAACATTCGTCCCCTCTTCTTCATGTCTCTTCTACATCAACATGTGTCCCCTCTTCTTCATGTCTCTTCTACATCAACATGTGTCCCCTCTTCTTCATGTCTCTTCTACATCAACATGTGTCCCCTCTTCTCCATGTCTCTTCTACATCAATATGTGTCCCCTCTTCCCCATGTCTCTTCTACATCAACATGTGTCCCCTCTTCTTCATGTCTCTTCTACATCAATATGTGTCCCCTCTTCCCCATGTCTCTTCTACATCAACATGTGTCCCCTCTTCTTCATGTCTCTTCTACATCAACATGTGTCCCCTCTTCTTCATGTCTCTTCTACATCAACATTCGTCCCCTCTTCTTCATGTCTCTTTTACATCAACATGTGTCCCCTCTTCTTCATGTCTCTTCTACATCAACATTCGTCCCCTCTTCTTCATGTCTCTTCTACATCAACATGTGTCCCCTCTTCTTCATGTCTCTTCTACATCAACATGTGTCCCCTCTTCTTCATGTCTCTTCTACATCAACATGTGTCCCCTCTTCTTCATGTCTCTTCTACATCAACATGTGTCCCCTCTTCTTCATGTCTCTTCTACATCAACATGTGTCCCCTCTTCTTCATGTCTCTTCTACATCAACATGTGTCCCCTCTTCTTCATGTCTCTTCTTCATCAACATGTGTCCCCTCTTCTTCATGTCTCTTCTACATCAACATGTGTCCCCTCTTCTTCATGTCTCTTCTACATCAACATGTGTCCCCTCTTCTTCATGTCTCTTCTACATCAACATGTGTCCCCTCTGTGGAAAGAGACTCTGAAAGTTTCAGGAACAAAGATTCTCTCTCTTTTTGATCCATTTCTATAAAAACCTGTCTGAAAATGAGCTGATCAGATTTTGGCCACTTTATGATGTCATAACGATGTGTTGGCTTGAGTAACCATTAGCCAATCAGCAACCAAGGTAACCCCCCCACCCCACTGTATCACCTGAATCTCATCCTAGAGCACCATTGAGTTCTTTGTAACCAAATGTCTCTCTGAGGGGCGTGGGGAGGGGCTCCTTATTTTCATCTAAAGTAACAGACAGAGAATCAGCACTTTGGAAACAGGGCTGAAACAGAGGGGATTATGGGATGCTGCAATATATTGATGAAAAACAGTATAATAGGGGACTGTTACGTCCCCACTAAGGTCTAGGGGACCTGGAGACAATAACATACAACCAATAATTAATGAGGGAGTCAGCGTAACAGTTTACAAAAGGTTTATTTTGTAAACCCAGAACCGAACAGACATAACTGAAACCTTAGTTCAATGATTCCCTTCAATGCAGGAAGACAGCGTATGGAAACTTTGATTCTTTTGAATATGTGGCCCTTCGGCTGAAATGCTCCTCTCGAGCTCTGTTCCTAAATATCTATAGACCACCCAAATACTGTGCAAGCTTTTTTGATGACTTTACTGAACTGCTGTCTATAGTGTGTATTGACTTTGACCGTCTAGTCATTGTTGGTGATTTTAACATCCATGTTGACAACCCCCAGGACAGAGGGGCTAAAGAACTGTTTTGTGTTCTTGATAGCTATGGACTGACTCAGCATGTGACGGAGCCCACGCACAATAAGGGGCACACTCTGGACTTAATTATCTCAAAGTGTGTGAATATCTCTAAGGTTGTGGTGACTGATGTTGCACTCTCTGACCATTCCTGTGTTTTCTTTGAGAGCTCTATTTCTGTTCACAAAAATGTTCAAAAAGAGGTAACCACAAAGCGATATTTAACTGAAAATACTAGGGAAATGTTTACTCAGAATTTCTCTTCCACACTTGCCCCTGCTAACATCTCAGTAAATGAGCTAGTAGATCATTTTAATTCAAAAATTAAAAATGTTATAGATGCCATTGCTCCAACTAAGGTAAAGGAAGTGTGTGGCAAGAAAATATCTCCATGGAGAAAGGCCATGGCCGTGAGAACAGAGAAAAGAGAATGTCGAAAAGCTGAACGCAGGTGGCGAAAAACAAATCTCCAGGTTCACTTTGAAATCTATAAAGAGAGACTTGGCCTTTATAATTTGGAATTGAAAAACGCACGACAATCGTTCTTCTCTGACATCATTACCAAAAACAAAAACAACGCACGTGCCTTGTTTGCTACCGTCGACAGACTAACTAACCCCCCAGTGTCAGTCGCCTCTGAATTTCTATCCACCAGGGCGTGCAATGATTTTGCCTTCTTCACTGACAAAATTCAGAAAATCAGAGAAGCAGTCAGTGCCTCTGCATCAGGAACAGCAAATGTGTTGTCCCTATCTCCACTTAACACCAATTCAGACATCATGACACAATTCCATCAGATGAATGATAAAAACCTAGAGGACATTATTCAACTTCTGAAATCCTCCTCCTGCTGCCTTGATATTATTCCAACAGGATTTTTCAAAGATGTTTTGCCTTGCATGGCCTCAGATCTACTTCATATAGTAAACAAATCTCTTCACTCAGGTATTTTTCCACAGGCCCTGAAAACTGCAGTCATTAAACCGCTCTTAAAAAAGAATAATCTAGATGCTTCAGTAATGAACAATTACAGGCCCATATCAAACCTCCCATTTCTAGGTAAAATCATTGAAAAAGTTGTTTTTCAACAGTTGAGTAATTTCTTGCATTTAAATAACTGTTTCGATGTGTTCCAGTCAGGCTTTTGTCCAAACCACAGCACTGAGACTGCTCTTGTAAAGGTCTTTAATGACATCCACTTAAACACAGACAGTGGCAGAACTTCAGTGTTAGTATTATTAGATCTCAGTGCTGCGTTTGACACTGTTGACCACAGCATATTACTAGACCGACTGGAGAACTGGGTGGGACTTTCGGAAACAGTTCTGAATTGGTTTGAATCCTACTTAAAGGACAGAAACAACTTTGTTTCTATAGGTAAATACACATCTGAGTTGACAAATATGACATGTGGGGTTCCTCAAGGCTCCATCTTGGGGCCTCTTCTCTTTAACATCTACATGCTACCACTGGCTCAGATAATGAAGAACAACAAAATAAGTTACCATAGCTATGCAGATGACACACAAATTTACGTGACAATTTCACCAGGAGACTATGCTCCAATTCAAACACTGAGTAAGTGCATTGAACAAATCAATGACTGGATGTGTCAGAACTTTCTCCAATTAAACAAAGATAAAACTGAGGTAATGGTTTTTGGAGCCAAGGCAGAACGTATCAAAGTTAGCGCTGAGCTTCAGTGTGCAATGTTCAAAACAACAGATAAAGCCAGAAATCTAGGTGTAGTCATGGACTCTGACCTGAGTTTCAACAGTCACATTAAAACTGTTACTAAATCAGCCTACTATCACCTAAAGAACATATCTAGGATTAAAAGACTAATGTCACAGCAGGATTTGGAAAAACTTGTCCATGCTTTTATCTTCAGTAGACTCGACTACTGCAATGGTGTCTTCACAGGTCTCACTAAAAAATCTATTAGAAAGCTGCAGCTAATTCAGAACGCTGCTGCTCGAGTCCTCACTAACACTAAGAAAGTGGATCACATCACTCCAGTTCTGAAGTCTTTACACTGGCTTCCTGTGTGTCACAGAATAGATTTCAAAATACTGCTGCTGGTTTATAAAGCACTGAATGGTTTAGGCCCAAAATACATTTCTGACCTCCTGCTAAATTATGAACCATCCAGATCTCTCAGGTCTTCAGGGACTGGTCAGCTTTCTGTCCCCAGAGTCAGAACTAAACATGGTAAAGCAGCGTTCAGTTATTATGCTCCAAATATCTGGAACAAACTCCCAAAAACCTGCAGGTCCGCTGCAACTCTGACTACTTTTAAATCCAGGCTGAAGACTTTTCTTTTTGTCGCTGCTTTTAATTGAACTATTCATATCTTAGACTGCACTGTAACTTTTATCCATGTATTTTTTTCTTTTAATGTTTATTTTATTAACTTTTCTTTTTAATGACTGATTTTAAATGCCATTTTCTTAATCTCTTTCATTTTTTGTAAAGCACTTTGAATTGCCTTTTGTTGAAAAATGCTATATAAATAAACTTGCCTTGCCTTGCCTTGCCTTGCCTTGCCTTGCCTTGCCTTGCCTTGCCTTGCCTTGCCTTGCCTTGCCTTGCCTTGCTTGCCTTGCCTTGCCTTGCCTTGCCTTGCCTTGCCTTGCCTGCCTTGCCTTGCCTTGCCTTGCCTTGCCTTGCCTTGCCTTGCCTTGCCTTGCCTTGCCTTGCCTTGCCTTGCCTTGCCTTGCCTTGCCTTTCCTTGCCTTGCCTTGCCTTTGCCTTGCCTTGCCTTGCCTTGCCTTGCCTTGCCTTGCCTTGCCTTGCCTTGCCTTGCCTTGCCTTGCCTTGCCTTGCCTTGCCTTGCCTTGCCTTGCCTTGCCTTGCCTTGCCTGCCTTGCCTTGCCTTGCCTTGCCTTGCCTTGCCTTGCCTTGCCTTGCCTTGCCTTGCCTTGCCTTGCCTGCCTTGCCTTGCCTTGCCTTGCCTTGCCTTGCCTTGCCTTGCCTTGCCTTGCCTTGCCTTGCCTTGCCTTGCCTTGCCTTGCCTTGCCTTGCCTTGCCTTGCCTTAGTTGGTGAGGAGGAGGAGGAGTCAAAGGATTGCGCCAAACGAAAGAAACAAGCATAACAAAACCAGGCCTATCTCTACATCTATCCTTTGAATCCAAAACTCAAACAAAAACCCTCACTAACTAAACTACAAAGACTTTGACAAAACAATATACAGGGGTGGCAACAATCCGCTAACCTAGTGTGTCTAAACATTAGTTAGCTACGTGGTGAGAAATGTACAGGGTACCCCAGACTTACCTAACTCCTCCACCTCTCAACACACACACTTTCAAAAAGGTCTGACAATACAAAGTATTGATGTTACGTATTGCGCCGAGGCTTCGGAGCGTGTGTCGAGTAATCCCCGAAGTTTTTTGTGAAGCTTGTATCGAGGCTTGTATCGTTTTGGGCCAGTGACGTCATCGATGACAAACGAAGCCTCGCTGCCTGTCGATACCACGTGACTGCTTCCCGAAGCGATTCAGATCGGTTGAACCGTTGAACCACAACGCTCATAATACCCATGGATGTATAACAAGAACCATATTACCCCTCCTGTACCCGGGCCTGGTGACACGATGGAATCAAGAGAGCTCAGACCCTCACTTATAGAGGTCGGAACATGTCATAAGTATAAATAGATACAAGCATAAATAAATGTAGGAATAAAAACATCAATAAATACAGAAATACATATCTTGCAGTGTTTTCAAGGAGACTCAGCGTGTGTGCTGTGGCTCAGCCTGAAAGCAGTTGACTCATGACCGCAGGGTCCCTGGTTCAACGACTGAACAATACCTCTTTTTTGTTGTTTATAAAAGATACAGCTAAATGAGATAATGTAGTTAATAATGTATTCTGTGATATGGTTCAGGCTACAACATGGTTAAGTTTACGAATATTACTAAGGAATACAAATCCCTCTTTGCAATGTTTACCAGCCTCCTTAGGGTTTTCAATCACAATCAACTGGAATAAAAACAATATTGTTAACATGAAAATATGATGTTATGTTCGTTGTTTAGAGTTATTCTAAGGCTTTACTCATTGGGAACTCGGTATGAGATAGAGCACACTGTTGAGATGTCCAACCTGCCTGTTTTACACACTTTGACCAACAGGGGGTTTGTGTTCAAATGAAGCCCATGATGAAGCCTCATGAGATGAACACTTTTGCGAACCAATTGGCTGGAAAGCTTCAAAGCTTCATAAGGCTTCATCTCACCATCACTAATACAAAGTGAATTAGTTGCTAAACACTGCAGGCTCCTTCATCAGCAACAGGCCCAGAGTGAGAGAGCGAGAAGACTTCCTGGGTGCCTCCTTTATGGTCGGCCCTGGCTGCTGATAGGCCAGCTGAGGGTGAGAGGATCCAATCAGCCATCAGACTCAGGTGCACAGGCAGATACCGATCAGCTGCTGATTAGCTGTGCAGAAGACACGGAGAAGAGAGAAACACAGGAGGGAAGGAAAACCACACCAGGACAGCCTGCCTGCCACGTAACAGGGACCTTTAATTGTTTTCAGTCCCTGAATCTCTTTGACCCACCTGTTGCTGAAGCCTCTGCCAGCATTCGAACATGTTTCGCCCGCAGAGCCGAGACGGCGTCCCTGAGTCTTTCTTCCGTCCTGTAGAGTTGCTGATCTCCTCCAAACCTCCATCCCCGCGACTCCAATTAACGCTGACGTTTGGTGCCTTTCCTGACGGCCGAACATCACTGCTGTTCAGACCTGAGCAGAGAGGAAACCGAAGAGAAGGGGTGAAAACAGAAAGGCTCTCATACTGAATACCTGTTCAAATGTTGGCTTAAAGTGTTGTTTTATTGGTGAAATAACTCAACAACTCTGTCAGACCTGATCAGAGAGGAAACCGAAGAGAAAAAAAAATATTACAAACAGGGTTCGTTATAATCTAAGCTTCTTGGGGGTCTTTAAAACTAACATTAGGAGTTCTTTGGGAGTTCTTTTGGAAAACATGTTTTTCTTTTAGCCTATATACCTCGTTAACGTAAATAATACTCCTTACATTGAAAAATGCATTATTTGTGATCAAAATAATGGTTGACGGTGAATTAATGTACCTTAATATAAAGTGTTACCAAAAAAGATATCATATGTGCATAAAACATGTGGACCTACAGCCGAGCATCAGCTGCTGTCGTCGGTAAGGGAAGGGTAGGTGCTTGACGGGTGCGAGGCGGTGTGCAAAGGCTCGGCTCAGGTGACCCGTGTGGCTGAGCGTTCCCACGGTGACGCTGTGCAGGTAAACCGGCTCCACCAGGTGAGAGAGGAGCGCCCCCTGCAGGCCAACAACACTCCACCTGTTGAGGAAAACAATTAAAAAGAAATCCGAGCACACATGGTTTTTGCGGTGTGGAAGTTTCACTCATAGTTGACATAAATAGAACTACAAAAAAAGACCCAAGCTGTAATAACCACGCATTATCCTTTCAAATAAGATGTTAACTTAACCCTTGAATTCACATTCAATATTTTGGAAAATGTAATGATTGGTATTTTCTACATGACACCCATATAACACAGTTATTACACCCACATCACACATTAATACACCCCTATAAGACAGTTATTACACCCGAATAACACCCACATTACACTGTTATAACACCCGTGTTACACTATGATTACATCCTTATTATACCTACTGTTAAAAGACCCATATTACACTGTTATTACACGCCACATTAATACACCCCTATTAAACAGTTATTACACCCACATTACACTACGATTACACGCATATTACACCCTTATTATTGGGGCAAAAACATTTAAAAAGAAATCCGAGCACACATGGTTTTTGCGGTGTGGCAGCCTCACTCATAATTGACGTAAATGTAACTCCAAAAAAATACCCAAGCTGTAATAAACACGCATTATCCTTTCAAATAAGATGTTAACTTAACCCTTGAAGGCACATTCAATATTTTGGAAAATGTAATGATTGGTATTTTCTACATGAAGCCCATATAACACAGTTATTACACCCACATCACACATTAATACACCCCTATAAGACAGTTATTACACCCACATTACAATGTTATTAAACCCACGTTGCACTACAATTACATGCATATTCCATCCTTATTATCCCCGTGTTACACTGTTAAAAGACCCATATTACACCAATATAACACCAATATAACACCCATATTACACAATAAATACACTGTTATTACATCTAGGGCTGATTAGAAACTCACTTTGCCATCTTGTCAGTGCAGGACATTGTGACGGGTGATTTACATGCTGCCATATTGTTCTGATTGGCTCTTCTTGCTGTGATTGGCAGCGTCCCTTCTCCACCATCCACTTTCACCCTGAGGTGACAGTGAAACCTCCTGCTGGGATCTGACAAAAGACAAGAAGTGGACTTATCAGATGAGAAATACTCTGCTCCGCATTTGAAGAAAACCCTGGATATTGTTGGTCTGTTGGTTGATCCAGTTTAGTCCAGGCTTAAATATCTCAACAACTATTAGATGGATTACCGTGACATTTTACAAAAACATTCATGAGGGGGTAAATCACACTGACTTTGGTGATTCTCTGATTTGATCTTTAACGCTATCATAACCTGTACTTTTTAGGTCATGAGTGAAGTATTGAATTTATTGGAGTGAAATTTGGTACAATCCTTGGTTCCCTTATCAAGATGAATTCTAATAACTTTTGAGATCCTCTTAAAAATCTCACTTGGTCCAATACTTTGATGAGACCGTACACCAGAAGTGTTTGTACTCACCAGAAAGTCACCAATTCCTTTGTAGATTACTGGTTTAAAGCCTCAAGATAAGATAAGATAAGATAAGATGTACTTTATTGATCCCAATCTGGGAAGTTTGTTATCTTGGTTTCTTGGAACCATAAAGTGACGTGAGGATCGAACTCAGTACAACCGAACGCTAAACCGGACTCTTTTAGGCAACCAAAATGTTCCTATTAACTTTCATGAACTGAAAACCCAAACCGTAAAAGGGTAAAGTTATTCTAAGATAATAATAAACTTTATTTATTTAGCACCTTTCATGCTTGACGCAGCCAAAAGTGCTTTACAGAGTATGACAAAAAAACCACGATAACAAATGAGGAACATAATTAAAATATGTAAAAACACTAAAACAATAAAACATGAACAGTGATACTACTAAAAATGATTAGCCAAATAAAAAAAAGGGTCTTTCATTTACTTTAAAACATTAAAATTGAGGTTGCCGATCAAATTACATCACGATGACATCACGATGACATCACGATGACATCACAAAATCCAAAACATCAGTATCGTCATTATTCCCATCGTCTAATTGCATTGTTCTCACATGCAGCCGTGGTCTCGTAGGGGCAGTTGAGTCGAGCGTCTCCGCACGGCGACGAGCTGACGAACATGTGGAAGAAAACGCCGTCCTGCAGCCGGAAGCCACCGCCAACTTCATTTGGTACGAAAATGGATTGTTCCTCACCGTCTGCTGGTTTACTACGGAGAGGAAACACAGAGAGAAGTCCAACATGAGACAGAGACAGAGTGACAGACACTAAATCCTTATGAAAACAGTCAGTTTTGTATTTATTGTCAGGATTTACAACTCTTGCAGCTGCGGATAAAGTTAGATCTGGTTATTTTAAGGTTTTGGGACTCCAATATATTGAGAGAGGTTTTGTAAAAGATTAACGTCTTCAATGGGCTTAGAGCTGAAAGCCAAAGACAAGATATAAGACATCATTGAGAGACAGACTGTCATGAATTGGGATTAAGTGAAGGTTGGTGCCGAATTTGAATATAATTCCCAAATCTGAGATATCTACTTTAAATCAAAGTGACCATGACTTTGACCAGCAAACTCTAATAAATGTATCCTTGAGTCCAAGTGGATGTTTGTGTAACATTTGAAGAAATTCCCCACACTGACATATTGCCCTAACGACAATGCTACGTTTTTACATTTATAAAATGATACATTTTTGGGTATGCATTGAAAAATATGTGTGTGGATGGAGACATTTGTGTTTCCTTCTGTGTGTATTTATTTATTTTTGAGACTGATCCGACCCTATACGATGCTGAGTAAGGACTAAACATTTGACAAGAAAATGGCCCCGGTCAGAAAGCTAGATTCCCCACGAAGCCTAGACAAAAAATAGAAACAAAAAACGTATTTTAGGGTAATTTGAGGGTCGTACCAGAGCAGCAGCTCCAGCTGAGCGTACAGGAATCGAACCAGCGCCCTGCGGCTCATGACTTCTGCGTGGCAGTCACTGAGTGTTACACTGTGGTCACTGTCATTGTCCAAATCCACACACTTAGTCCCTGTGGCCAGAGACACCACCTGCGCTGTCCTGAGGTCAAATCCTGGAAAAGAAATGAAGGATTTAACAAAAGACAGAGTGGAAAGCATCTGCTCAGATTTCTGGTGACTTGTTCAACAAACAATTGATGGTGCAAGACATTCAACATGATGCAAATCAAACAAGACGCCTCATTTGTCTCTGAGAACAAGACATTTCCTCTGTGCTGAGATGAGCTGATGACAAATGTGTGACAGAATAATCAATCCACCATCTCAGAAACATGCTGTGTCAATCTGGCCTCATCAAAGACGGTAAAAAGGGCTCTGGATACAACGGGTAATTCGAGGTAACGTGTTTTTTCAATTGCAGCATTAAGGTTTTACTCAGATGCGCCTCTACTGTTCTATTTGCTCACATGAATATTGGCAAGATCCCTGTATTCAAAGAGGACATACAGAAGATATCTTTTTGTTCTGTTTTCTACATCACAACAGTGTGGGGCTATGTGACGTGTTTTCTTAGGATTTTAGTTGATAAATCATAAGATATGGAAAGTGTTTCACATGTTTTAATATTCTTGTTGAGACAATACCTTGGATTTGATTCACCTAGATCTTATTTATTTATTCGTTTATTTGGGACATTGCATTGAAGAACACTTAAAACATGAAATATGCCGGATTTAGCTTTGAGCTACTTCACATTCTCACATCTGGCTACATTATATATTTTTAAACTTCTACGACGGACATTTTACAACATAGTCAATCATTCTTGGTTTGGTTTGTGCAAAACAAGGAACACGTTTTCACTAAAGAATTTGAATTTATGTGCATCAAATATTACGCATCTTAAAATGAGGAATACGAGGGAGGCTACAGAAAAGACAATGGATGCAATGTTTACATCCAAGGCCCAATAGAGCGGTGCAGGGATGACATGTTTTTGTTGGCCGGCCCGGAAGTGAGCTGCTGGTTCCCTCGACAAAAGAGCAACGGGATTTCTCCATAGGATTTTGGAAAGTAGCTCGAAATAAGGTCTGTGGGAAACGAACCTGTTTGATGAACGCACGTTTTGTTCAGCCGGATCATCTCCTCATGTCTTCCCTACTTTTATAATTTTCGAATCATAAATCTAGTCGCCAGAAGCAAAATGCTAACGTTATGCTATGAAGGAGCTACATCCGAGTCCAGCAGCACGACTTCGACGTCACGCCAACTTCAGATCCATATTCAAAAATACAGATTCTAAATGGTACAAGTTGAAGCTTTTGTTTTATTATATTACGTATTATAAATAAAACTTGATTTGATTTGAACAGTCTGCAGGAGGCAGGAACTTGCTTTCAAGCAGAACAGAAACTAACTTAGAGGAGTGTTTATGTGTTCGGCGTAATGACGTACAACGGCCTCAACTTCTGTAGTCCTATTCAGCCACTTGGTCACAACCATCGTTTTTCAGACACGTCCACTCTTCAGAAATCACCAGCGGGGTCACTGCTGATGGATTTAATGTCGTAGAACAAAACGTGACCCGTCTCTTCAATGTGTCTCAACCACAGACCTTAGTTCCAGCTATTCCAAAACCCTATGGAGAGATCCCATTGGCTCTGAGACGAGGGAACAGGAAGTGGAGAAATGCTGACTCACTTCCGGGTTTTAGGACTCGTCACTGCACCGCTCTATTCATTTCATTCATTAGAAATACTTCTTCCTATCTCAGCCAGATATTGTGTAGTAAGATAACAAACCTCTGCTCATCACGACTCCTGCCAGCACTTTGTGTTTGGCGTACGAAGAGGAACAAACGTCCGTCAGCTCGGAGTATTTCTCTCTCACCAGGTGGAAGACGGACTCTGCAAAGACCTGCAGGAGAAGAAGAAATGGTAGAGGCATCGTTTGAAAAGTGGAGCATGCATATTGCACATGTCGTTTTATTCTGTAGTTCTCGCATGTACATTTTCGGTGAGAATATCACAGAACCAAAGAATCACATGATCTTAACCTGACTTGGTATTAATATTTGTTTTACTTAAGTTATCCTTTAAGTTAACAGGCAGTTTAATGTTTCTATGAAGTCCTTTTTATTAGCTGCCATGTTTTTGCACATGTTGGCCTGATGAAAAAAAAATAGATTTAAAATAGACTGTATATACACCATCATTTTTGTTTACTTGGTAAAAAATATATCTGACTGTGAAAGAGTCTCTTGTGAAAACTATAACACTATAATCCCTCTAGCTCTACACTATCTCCCTTCTAATAAAAACGTATTATTTCTATTTATGTTTTAATGTTCCTATAGTTTTTATATAACAGTTATTTTTTTTGAGAAACTACACTATGTGCTATTCTGCTTCCCCTATATTTAAACCTGAGGACATTGTGAGTCCTGCTTTTGTATTTCTTCCAGCAAACACACAGAACACTTTCAAACAAAGTCAGCAGGGATGCAGCTACAACTGTGACATGTTTCTGCCCGGACCTCCAGAACGAAGCCCGCCGAAAACTCTCTGATAGTCTGACAGTGAAGGCCGAGAGTTTCTTTTCACTGTAAACTCCTCCAGTCTGCGGGGGAACAGGTGTCGCACTCCTACCTGTCGAAATATCTAATTATATCTGTGGAGGACTGTCGCTCTTTTTATGGGGAGATAGTTAGTTGCTACACTCACAGAAATATTTGGCCCTAATATAGAGTATTTATGTATTTCAATTGCATATAAAATGTCCATCCATTTGGATTGCATAGTTCTTACATACATTGACTAATAAACTCTTTGCATTGCAAACACATAATAACTATGTCTACAACCTTATTATCAAAACATCCAATGTGTTTCAAATACATTAGAACCAGGCTTATGTATTCGATACAAATAAAGCCTATGCATGTATATAAAATAAATATAGCTTATTTGGTTTGTAATAATCTACTTTTATAATACATAACCACATTCCCCACACTCACAGCACTAACAAAAAAGTAGTCATGCCACCTTATCACATTTTAATGCATCAAGAAATCACAGTACACACCCACAAAAGGTGGAGTACACGTTACTATAGTAACTCCACTCCAATGTATACATTGTATGCATTATTAAATTAATGCACCAAATAAGCTATATTTATTTTATATACATAAACCTGGATCTTATGAATTTAAAATGCATAGACTTTATTTGTATCGAATACATAAGCCTGGTTCTATTGTATTTGAAACACATTGGATGAATTGATAATAAGGTTGTAGACATATTATGTGTTTGCAATGCAGAGAGTTTTTAGTCCATTTATGTAAGAACTATGTAATCCAAATGGATGGAAATGTTATATGCAGTTGAAATAAATCCCAACCAAATTCATTTTCTACAGGAAACACTTGTGACTTTAACATGTGCTGCATCCTAAATGATGGAGTGATCAGGGATAGTGTTTGCAGTGAACACCAACAGAAAGACGTCTTAGAGCCAGCGAAAGGTCATTGAAATGTGATCAGGACTAAGAAGATCACACAGGAGGCATCAGGGGCTTAAAGCACAGTGTATATAGACTCTTCTTGCACTATTTCTATCTTATTTGTATTTACTTGAACATCTAAAAACCATTCTCTTGCACTATTTTATTTGTTTTATGTCCTATATATAATCATGTTGCTCTGTTGGAGGAGCCTGTGACCTAAGAATCTTGAATCTGGGTTTGAAGGTTTCACAGGTCTTGGGTTGATTGTTATTTTACATTTAAGTATAACATAAATGACTCTTGGACAACAATAATATTTTGCCACACAAAGTTTCTCCAAATGTGGTTTCAGTTTCTTTAGATAGATGTTCTTGAATCTGTTGGTTTTTGTGCTCTGATGAGTGTATGCTATTGGTAAACTGGGGGCTTCTCCGGAAGTGTTTCCTTGTACGATGTGAGGGTCTAAGGACAGAGGGTCTAAGGACAGAGGGTCTAAGGACAGAGGGTGTCGTATTGTCATACTGATATTCTGTACAAACTGTGAAGTCCACTGAGACAAATGTAACATTTGTGATATTGGGCTATATAAATAAACATTGATTGATTGAAGAGGGTTTGCAGAAACACATAATCACATGTGGATTAAAACAACATTAATATTATATTATTAATGTATAAATACTGGACAATCCTAAATCAGGGAACGTCTCCAAAAAAAAAAGTTTAATTTTTATTGTGCAATGCCATGTCTTTTTATGCAACAAAACATTTCCCAAATTGGGATCAATAAAGTTCTTATGAAGCTTAGCGCAAGTTCAGACAGGAAGACCTATCACTCCGTATTGCACGTCATGGCAATACTCGCTCCCTGCACTAAATGACAGGGAGCGCCACTCCTCAGCTAACCTATCACTCCCCTCCATTTACAAGCCTAATTATCGCACCTGTTAATCCCTCTGTATATGCTCTCCCCTTTCCTATCAGCTGTCTTCCAGGTGTCAACGCGCAACCCTCCTCCACCCCTTCGCCTCCTGCTTCCAACTCAGGACCAAGCTTAACCTTCTCCCTTTCCAACCGGACCTAACCACTTATCACCACCACCAGTGTCTAGACCCAGGGGGGTTCATCGGAAACGGTTCTTCCCTTCCCGATTGATATCCTACAAAACCTGGGCCTAATCGCCAAAACACCATTTCATTCACTTGTTATAAACTGTCATCATTATGTTTCATTTATATAATGTGACCGATAATAAATATGTATTCCATACATCACGTCTCTCCTGATTGAACTTATATTATGGATTTATCCAAGAACTGCAGCCTCCCTTAAATCTGCATTTACTGATCAATTGTTGGTACTTTTAGTGGATAAAGCTTTAAAGACAACATTAACATACTAGGCTGCTATTTTTCTCAAACTGTATGAATGATAAGGTCGAACATGTGGAATAAAGGTGTAGATTTCATGACATTCACTGCCCCAAATTCCCCGAAATATAACCCGTGATGTGACCTCAGTGTGTTTCATCTCATTTTGAAAGAGCAGATGATCGTTTTTGGGAGCGAAACTCTGGCTCGACGTTTCCTGGATGGCAGCGGCACAAGGTCGTGTGTAATGAGTGTGTTAAACAATTATCTGTCAGATTATTATGCTCTTCACACCGCCTTCCCCGCTCCACCTCTCTCTCCGCGGTCTGCTGCCGCTCCTCCTCCATCCCTAATGTGCTGTAATCATGTTCATTAATGCGTCACGCCGCCTGACAGACAGTTCATATTGAAGGGGGGAGAAGATGCTAAATGATCAGTCTGGGAGGCTGTGAAAAACTTACAATTTCCAGGACATAAAGGGGGAAATCTTTTGCATATTGTTAAGTTTTGGTGTCAGCCTAAAGTATGAAGAGTGAAAACATCCTTTTGTCCAGAGACAATCAAAAATGTCACCATCCTCTTGAATCACCCCCCAGGGTTTAATAAAGTATCTACATGTCTGTCTAAGAGTCTATACTCCTTTGCATATTGGCATGAAGATATGTTTCTGCATTGGCCATGCTCAGTCAGCCTCTTCGGCTCTGTGGAGACACATCTTCTTGTATTCATAAAGAACGACAGCACAACACGTCGAGGACAATTCCCTAAAGGCTCGCAGAGGATGTTTGGATGCTGCAGACGATGCATACAGGACACCATCTATCGGCCTCAAGCCATGATGGCCGCGCTGATGTGCGCCACACTTCATTTGGTAGCATACGGCGCACCTCAGACCCATTTATCCAGACCATTTAGAAGACTGGCTGAAAAGCTAAACAGATAAGAGGTGAATTCAGAGTCACTGCTGATGTTTCAGAGCGAGAGAAATCTGTCTTTAACATCTGAAGGGCATTTACTGATACACTGAGTCCATCTCTTTACTCTGTATTCTGTGTCAAATGCTGACAGGACATTTGTCTACAGATGCAAAAAAACATACTTCTCAAAATTACTGATGATGAAGTTAGCAAGTTGCCATTGCAAGGGCTACCCGACAATGACATTTTTTCATGTTATAAAACTCTCCACATATATCACCACTTTTATAATGGTTAATCCATAATGCAATCTCCAGAAGTAAAAGGCTAATGTTGGGCTATAAAGGAACTACAGCACGGTCACATGACTTCACGACACCACCGCTAAGCTAAAGGTGGCTAATGTTGGGCTATAAAGGAACTACAGCACGGTCACATGACTTCACCACCGCTAAGCTAAAGGTGGCTAATATTGGGCTATAAAGGAACTACAGCACGGTCACATGACTTCACGTCACCACCGCTAAGTTAAAGGCGGCTAATGTTGGGCTATAAAGGAACTACAGCACAGTCACATGACTTCACGTCACCACCGCTAAGCTAAAGGCGGCTAATGTTGGGCTTTAAAGGAACTACAGCACGGTCACATGAGTTCACGTCACCACCGCTAAGCTAAATGTGGCTAATGTTGGGCTATATAGGAACTACAGCACGGTCACATGACTTCACGTCACCACCGCTAAGCTAAAGGAGGCTAATGTTGGGCTATAAAGGAACTACAGCACAGTCACATGACTCACATTACTCGTCTCATTTAGACACTTGTAAAGAACCGCCTTTTTTTGATTCTGCTGGGCCTTGAAACAAATTCTTGTAGCTGTCAAATGGCGGTACTACAACCTCCGTGTCTGTGACATTTTCCCATATAGTAAAATGTGGAAAGACACACTTAAAAATAACTTTGATTTGTTTGGTCCTAAAAGTGGCATGGTTTTTTTTTCTTTTCTTTATACATCCATGTCTAAATACTGCCTGGTGGAAGAAGATGTTGGACCTCCTCACCTGAGGTAGCTGAAGTTTAGCTCTGCTGCCGTTAAGACCCATCACTTTCCTCTCCGGTCCCAGAGTGATGTTGTAAACGGACTGCAGGGCGGCTGCTGCTGCCTGGGCTTTTGCCATCCGTTTACTGTGACCACACCCTTCAAACACCCCCCCCTCCACCCTGACCACCATAACAAAACTCCTCATTGGCCTGCCATGAACTCTCTCCGTCAGGCACATGTATCTGAGTCCTGGTCGCAGCTCGTTGAGCAGCGCCACTGGGCTGAGGTGCTCTAAAAGTGAGGTGCTAATGGCTTGTCTTTTGGGTTTAGTTGAGGAGAAGTCCAGTTTGAGGCGGACAACTCGTCTGTAGAAAAACTCATTTTTTGCTGTGTTGCACTGTAGGAGTTGACAGTTTTCCAGCAAAGATGGCTCAAACTCTTTAAGGAATGCATCATGGATGTCCAGTTTATCGGCTGTAAAATCCACAGGAGTGCTGGTAAAGTTCCCGATGGAGGCGTGAGCCTGCGAGGCGTTTTGAAACTGGATGAAAGACCGAAGCGCAAGTTCTGCAACCCTCATCTTGGCTTGCTTTTTAGTCGGTCCTCTGCCCTCAAAATGGAAACCGTTCACCTCCACACCAACAGAAAACACTGGAGCGTGCAGTGGGCCGGTCTTCGACATGATTTCATACCGCAGACCAGGTTGTAACTCGTTGAGGTGCACAAGTGCGTTTTTCTGAGTGACAGCCCAGGCTGGTCTCTTACAAGTCAAGGGGCTCTGGTGGAGCAGCGACTGCTTCCTCTTTAGGGATCGGGTACTGTGTTTGGGGAAAGTTGTGCAAAAAGCTGCTGGATGATATTTCCGTAGTAGGTCGCAGTCCATGTGGCTCTTATAATCCTCATTCTCTTTCACCTCCAAACTGCTGCCTGTTGACAGATAAGGAAATAACAACAGGAAACGTGGCATGAAAAAAAACTAGGATTCTTTGTTTTTGTCTAGCTGTCATTAGGCCGACTTAAGACTAATGGTGCATATCACTACATGGTATGGCATTGAGCTACCCAAATTGACTATTTTTTGTTGGTTTTCAATTATCAAAAGTTCAGAATACGCAACCTTCTTAGAACTACGGTATAAATGCTAACACAGTGGAGCTGGAAGATATTTTATTTGATCATTCAGTAGGATTCATCCTCTAGGGACCATGAATGTGAGTACAAACTTTAATGGTAATCCATGTTATGGTTGATATATATTAGTTTGGACCAAATAATTGACCAATCAACTGACAGGCTGACAATAACATTGATAAAGTCACTTTAGCATGTCTAAAAATGTAACACTGCAACACTTTGATGCTGTCGTAATGTTACAAACTTTCTTTGTCAGCAGAACACAGAAACAAATTATTTTGGCACGAAAGGAAATAAATATTTACTTGAATTGTCTGCATCCTCAGCCGATGATGCTTCAGTATCCCAGTGTCGTATTGGACTGATGAGGGTGGATAACATGCTTCCTCGTTCTGAAAAACAGCATCACAAAGACATTAAATAACGAGCATTTTCTCCACAGCATGATGCAGTCAAGTACTTTACTACCGTGTACTAGTGTTGGTGAAATGAACCCAATTACAGTTACGATTCTGAACGCTTATACTGCATAGTTTTATATTCACTCCTAACCATAAAAGTAATGAAATGGACTGAGGGAAACACATTTACGGCGATAGTAGAAATGTAATGTGTTAGGTCGGGAGGGACATCAGAGTTCACACTAACATAAACGAAAACAAAAAGAAAGGCGGCTCAGTATGCACTACAAAAAATGTGATATGTTGTACTGTAGTGCTAACCAATTATCAAAAACCTAAAGTGACTCATCATGAACTTAGAAAATACCTTATTTTGCTTCAGGAAGTACCCGCAGATTCAATACTATAAAAAATGACTTGCTGATCCCTGTTGGTCCCTGATTTATGCACAGTTAGTGCAAAGATATATTCCCCATAAAGACACAACACTATAAGCTGCAGTGGGTACTTTTATTTTGTTATATCCAGTTTATAAATACAAATGCAACACTCAAATAATGAGCTATTATAAAAAAACCTTAGTATTGAAATGTTCTGGTATACTTTTTACTGTTGTTTCCAGACACAACCTGAAGCATTTTGGGACATGTAAATAATTGTATGTGGCATTTCAGCCAATCTAAAATTCCATTATAACCAAGGTGTACAAGCATCAAAAAGCTATACAACAATTTAAATCTGATCAAAAATAAATCAGTTTAGAAAAACGGTGCTACAATTGCACTACTTATTATATTGTAAAGACTCTCTCTTTCTTTAGAAGAATCTATGTTGTTATTGAACAAGTTTTACTTTTGAAACAATCAACTATGGCCCATTTTTACCCTTGTTGACTTGTGATTTCTGGAGGGCACTGCAACGCAAACTAAAAGTAATTAGAATAATGAAGAGAGCTCTCTAAACTCGTCCACATTAACCTTGCACCTTGCCGTTATATTAGGCGTGCGATGCCATTGAGTGGTGGGATGATATGAGTGAGAGCTGTGAGATGGGATGTGAATGTAATGATGTGAGTCTGGAGCCTCTGAAGGCAGGTGGAGGTATTTTAATGACCTGCACCATCACAGCTAATAGGGCCATTTATTTTTGGGATGAAAAAGATAATAAATGTGTCTTTGTGTTGCGTCGCCGGAGCCCTCGCAATTTTTTTCACTTTCTCATTCATTTCTCACTCAGTTTCCCATTCCCACTCACTCTCACATTGTACTCACACCCATTTGTTAATTGCAGTTTTATACATAATTTGAGCAGATGTTAATCAGGTTGCAACATGACAAATTAACAGGTTAATAATTGACAGAAAGGAAAGGCATTTTAACCAAAAGGCTATAATTCTGGGTGAGAGAGAATGGAGACAAAAGAGCTGGGCAGAAATGTCCTCAGTGCCTATCAACCCTTAAAAATGAATTTTGTTTAATCCAGTTGCTGTTAATGAACCTTATTTAATATAATAATGAAATTAGGCATGGCAGGGGGGAAGTGTGTGTGTATGTGTGTGTGTGTGTATGGTTTGACAGCTGTGGATAATCTCGTTTGCTAAGCGTAATTAACGGCCAGCAGTTTAATTTACTCTAAATATGGACTGTCGTTCCTCAAGGGCAAAGAAATATGGAACGTTTTTGAAATAATCACTTTATCAACTGATCCACTATCAGTAATGATATTTGTAACAGTAAATGTTGGGTTTATTATTTGTGCATTCAATTCTCCTAACCTATTTTATAATTACCAGCCACCTTGCGGTAACGTTTGGTACTGTAGCTTTAAGGCACCAAATAGCTCTACCTTCCATCTTGTTATTAGTCCACACAGCACAGCCATGTTGAGCACATGGTAGCTCAGAGCTAGGCCACAGAGTGTTTGGGTTTATCCTTGGAGTAGATCTGTCTGTAAGTATAAATACCTACCTGTGTGCTTTGTTATGTGTTCCAAAAAATGCGGTACAATGATGTGTGGTTTTTCAATGTTTTATGATGAGCTAACTAGCAAAGCGACATAGCTAAGTCTTAGCATAGGCTGGTGATGATACTGCTTTGATTGAATGGTTAGGGCACATATATTTTACTTTGTTTATTTAAGTACATAGCTTTACTGCATTATACTGTACCCTACTTTGCATTATTGTTGCAAATGTATTATCTTAATCGTGTAACTTTTTACAGTTTTAAAAACGTAAGCGTCAGTAAACGCTCAACTCAACAACAACTTGCCCAGTCTTTGTTAGCTTTCTGTTAAGCTTTGCAGTGTGACGCATATTTCAGTTGTTCTAGTCTAACGCCTTAACCTTTTAAGCCCTGAGCCTGTTTTTCAGGTTTCAAGCTCGAAAATGCCACTAACACAACAAAGACTATATCTTAACTTCTAAAAGGGGTACATTAATAATCTTTTCTCTCAAAGCAAGGTTACATCTGTAACATGTA